GTACACTTGGTACAATCAAAAACCTGATAATAAATTGTTCAAATAAGGCCTTCGAAAATAGTGGAATTAATTACTTTTGGAGTGTCAAGAACTCGTTGGAAGTACTTGATAAATTGCATGCATATATTGGTGATTTTGAATCTGTTCAAAGTTTTGATTTTTCTACCCTATATACCACATTGCCTCACATTCTCATTTAGAAAAAATTCACACACCTAATTAAATGGGCATTTAAAAAGTCAGAATGTGAATATATATGTTCAAACTCTTTTAGGTCATTTTTTAGTAGCAATAAACAAAAAAACTATGTCAATTGGACATGCTTTGATACTATATATGCCCTTGAATTTTTACTAGATAATATTTTTGTTCGCTTTGGAGATTCCGTATATCGTCAGGTTATCGGAATTCCAATGGGGACTAACTGTGCACCACTTATTGCGGACCTTTTTTGTATTGCTATGAGTTACAATTTATGACAAAAAATCAGCAAAGACCCATCGAAACAACATCTGCTACACAAATTTAATAATACTTTTAGATATTTGGATGATATTTTGGCTCTCAATAATGACGACTTCAGTATGTATACTAAAGAAATTTATCCTGTTGAACTTACTTTAAATAAAGCTAATACTAACAATGACCACTGCCCTTTCCTCGATCTTGATATCTATATCATTAACGGAAAGCTTAATACTAAAATATATGATAAAAGAGATGATTTTTCATTTCCTATCGTTAATTATCCATTTTTAGATGGTGACGTTCCCTTGTCACCATCTTATAGTGTTTATATATCTCAACTTGTACGATTCGCTCGTGTATGTAACAATGTTTTAGATTTTAACGAGAGAAATTTATGTATTACTGAAAAATTATTACACCAGGGTTTTCGATATCACAAACTAGTAAAAACATTTACTAAATTTTATCATCGGTATAAGGACATCATTCGTAAATATAGCTCAACATGCAGACTTCTTATACGTTCAGGTATTTCACATCCATTTTTTTATGGAAATATTCTTTATAAAGCACAAAAATGTCAGTATTCACCTCTGAAGCTAACAAAACCTTTAAATAGACTTATTAAGAAGGGATATAGTTACGATACTGTTGTCAGGTCATTAAAGATTGCATATTTTGGCGTTAATATTGATTCACTTATAGGGTCTTTGCATCGGCACTAAACACATTTATTTAAAAAACAGTTGTTGGCATGACACGGGTTATGTTCTTCTCATATATGTTATGATGGTATGATACTAAACCCCTAACGGGAAAGATTGTGCCTGATATTCATATGATGAAGACATAATCTTTCAATCAGTTTAATTGAAGTCTGGAGCTGGCATGTCAGTTAACTGCTAGTAGTCTGTTGTTATTTATGTATTATTGTCATTTTGTTTATTTTCTTTGGTTACATCTTCTGACATCAGACTCGGACTTCTCTTGAACTGAATTTTAATGTGCGTATTGTTATGCGTTTACTTTTCTACATTGGCTAGAGGTATAGGGGGAGGGTTGAGATCTCATAAACATGTTTAACCCCGCCGCATTTTTGCGCCTGTCCCAAGTCAGGAGCCTCTAGCCTTTGTCAGTCTTGTATTTTTTTTAATTTTAGTTTCTTGTGTACAATTTGGAGTTTAGTATGGCGTTCATTATCACTGAACTAGTATATATATTTGTTTAGGGGCCAGCTGAAGGACGCCTCCGGGTGCGGGAATTTCTCGCTGCATTGAAGACCTGTTGGTGACCTTCTGCTGTTGTCTGTTCTATGGTCGGGTTGTTGTCTCTTTGACACATTCCCCATTTCCATTCTCAATTTTATATCACATACATCACAACAGGAGCGTCTTTGACTACACCTGGTATGTACATAGTCAATAACATTTTAACATTCTAAACACGTTCTAAACAGGATATAAATTCTGTAATCCCAAAACTTTTGATATTGGAAACTAAAACATGTGAAAACTGATACACAATTTAATATCAAGAAACCAGTCAGTACTAGTCTGAAGTGAATATTTGTATTGTTGATTGATAATTGCTTAGAGTATGATACAACCTCTAATGTAATTTTTGAAAATACTTAAAATTTCATTTTGTAACAAATGCTACTCCTGGATTGGAAAGTGTAAAACGTTGGATATGTTTCGTAGAACTGTGATAATATGACTAAAATTGCACATGTTCTTTGCAACATATATGTAAGTAACATCGATGCAATTAACCTATCGACAAGTCAGAAGTTATGACATGAACTGCACCTATTAAACATTCGCGGAAACTACGTTTTTACATAGATTACACTTTAATTTACGATTAAAGATGACGAAAAACAAGGGGTGAGCTAAAAAATAATACTGAAAATTATGAAATTATTGCGTGCATTTATCTAAGACTAAATGCGATTTTCATTTTTGCGATATTGAGAAAAATCCTGTTTAATTCATATAAAAAATTTCAAAATGCGAGTTTAAATTATTGCGATTATAACCATGTCGCATTTTTCGTAATAATAAAACATCGCAATAATTTCTGAATTGACAGTAAACACAATTGAGATACATAGTAAAATGAAATAATTTAATTTTTATCATTTCAATAAGTCTTTTCGACGACACACTAATGCAGAAACTCATGTTTACAAACAATGTGAATCGCAACAAAATCCTCATAAATTTTGATTTTGTTTTATTTCTCCGGTTGCATGTTAAATCAACCTCTACTTTATAATGTGTAATACATTTGCATGTCTATTCAATTTTCTACACTTCCTTTGCATATTCTAGGGTTTGTATTCGGGATTTGTTTTCTGTTAGATGTCGGTACTGAATATCTGTTGGTATAAACTGCTCAGTAGGGAAATGTTAATCTTGTCCTTTTGTTTTCATCAGCGTACACTGAACATACCATATCCTCTATGGTGACCGGTTAATGCAATTCTGCATTTTCGCCTTTCATATTTTTATAGGCCGAGCACAAGAAGTCCAAAACGGGAAAAAAAGCAAAGTCGAAAATGCGAAACGCAAAATAAAGAAGGAAAAATCAGTTCGCGATTCCAACCTCCCCCCTTTTTTTTTCATTTTCGACTTCGCGTTATGCGTTTTATATAACAAATCAGGCGAAATCGCGAAATTTCAAAAAGGCTTACCAGCCACCATATTTGTCAGTGCATTCAAAAATCTATACAAGCAAAGAGTATCTAGGTCTATAATAATGTAATTTAGTTTTATTAGTTGATCACATTCATTTTATAACTACTTTATTTCTTTAGAAATGTATCAGAAATCATTGTTTAAAAAAACTGTTTGACTTGCATTAAATCTAAAATTGGGTTCACAAACATCCGTGTACTTTAAATGACAATCTGAGGGTTTTATGAATATTTAAACGAATTTGAACAGGACCTATACTTTTAAATGCGTTTTATTTAACATGAAATGCATATGTATGTTTAATGAAACTTAAGGTCGTTTTTTATACGAGGAAACGATGGGAAGCGGACATTTAAAACCCATGAGTCGAAAAAAGGCTCTACAATGGTCAAAGTAACAACGACGAAAATACATACAAAAGTCCACGAAATCTCTACCAATATACTAAGAGTTGTTTTCTCCACGGAGATGCAAATAAACTGATGTTGACGAAACATGGTACATGTTATCCAATTATGACAGTAACATTAATAATTGAAACCTTTGACAAATAAGGATAATGTAGATTTAAAGGTAGCGAGCATGTGCAATAATATTTGTCTAGGTTCGATTGATTTAAATATATAAAGTAACAAAATGTTAGCCATCGTTTTTATCTATAAAAGAATAATTTTAAGGGAATTGAATCAGACCCTTGTTTCACTTTAAATTTTGACAATCTTTTTTTTTAATAGCTAAGCACGCCTTGTACGTGCGAATCTAATTTCCAGCCAAGGAACAATTTGAAGATGATATAAATACGTGTTCCTTGAGCTTAAATTATTGACTTGCTAGTCAATAATACATCAGTGATATTTGTGAGCTTTTTCTGACAAGTTTGGGACAAACTGACAGCTTATAATTTTGTTTTCCTTCAAAATTTGGCTTTCATAAATATTTGAAACAAAAAGAAATCATAGTTTACAGATATTTGAATACGGTAAACCAAATCAGAATGGTGTCCGTAGAACTTGCGAAGAGACGACTTCAGTTTTATCACTTGTAACCCTTTGTCCAACAGCTTCCTTCCAAGCGGCAACCCTCTATCAATAAAATTATAAAACGAAACGGAACAGTATTAATGTTTCTGTACATGTGGTATTCTATACTTCAGAAAGAAATGATAGCCATGAAATCTGTACATTTTCGACAATTTGAAAGTTAAATGGTAACCCTCCATGTTTGACTCAAATGTGACCAGCGATACTCCCATATACCAGGCTGGCCAAATATTTGATGTTTGGCATGATTCCCTTAAATTTATTCAAACGTTTACACACTCTTCCGATTAAGAGCTTTACAGATTGTGTTGACGTCATCCTGTTTTTAAGATGTCTTTTAGTTATTTTTGTATTTGGACTAGTAGTACTGTTGTAGTAGTGACGTTTTCCTCTCATATCCTATTATAGCTTACTGACAGTCGAACAACCAATCACTCTTGTTAGTAAAATGAGGTTTTTCTTTCGAAAACAATTGCGTAACTTGTCAAAATGTTGACCATCATATTTCATGATCATGTCGATTATGATTATTTTCCTTTTGATTGTTTTCATTCTAGTTCATCTGAATGTTTTTAATATATTGCATTAACCCCTTTTATTTAAATGAAAGCACAATTTTAATGACGGCTGTTGTTTTCAACTAACTGCTTACGTAAAGGAGACATGCAATTTACTTATGAAATGAATGTGTTGAATGTTTTAAAGTAATAAACAAAATTTTTATCAAACAGATTTAACATTTATATATTTAGGTCCTTCAAGGTTTTATTTACTTACTAATTTGTATTTAAAGAACTACACGGGAAAGTTGTTTTAGTGACTGATAGTATGTCATAAAATTCTCGAACCGTTACACTGCTTAACTGACATGCGCTAAATTGAAGTTAACACATATAAATTAAAAAAAGTTTGATAATACTGTTACGGAATCACTTGAAATGGCAGACGTAAATGTAGGCGGTTATGGAGACGAACAACGAAGCGATGTAGAAGTACAAGCTTTGGTAGATAACAATCCAGAGGTAAGTCAATTACTCTTATGTTTTTGTAACAAAGTGGTGATAGTTTATGCAATTATCGTTTGTTAGATCATTTATCCATGAAAACAACGTATAACTTTGTAAACCGTTATCGGTGTCCACGCCAAAAATTAATTACGTCTATTCCTTTTTCTCAAAACTTTCATCGGAAAGAACAAAGACCTGATAAATAACAATTCAGTGTATACTTCACAAATGATACAAGATGGTCTTGAGTTACAGAGTTAAGGTGCTGAAGATATGTATCCTTTTATTTTATTATAGTTTCCCCGTTATTTGTCCTCGTGCTGTTATGTTTCTTTTTGTCGTATCACTTTTGTTTGACCTTTTGACATTGGGCATTCTTGATGCAGGTGGATCCTGATCCTGTAATGCAATTCAGAAAATACGGGTTTTTACAGTATTGTTTCTATTTTGTTTATCCATTTATTTAACTCAATTGAATTAAGTGTTTTTCATGATAGGTTATATAAAAAAAACCTGAAATAGCTATTTTAGAAAGCTAGTTGTCTTATGTTATTTTTGTGTAGTATTGTTGCTCTCAAAATAACATTTACATAAAATTTACTTTATTTTTTATCAAATTCAGATGAGAAAAGCTGTGCAGAGAGCTACAAATGGAAACGATCCTGGACATATGACATCACTTACCTACCGAACACAAGTTGTAGCAGGGACCAATTATATTGTTAAGGTTGGAAAACTAATGATTATTGCACTGAAATTAGAAATCTTTTATTTCATTTCTTATAATTGTTTTATTTTCATTAAGAAGTATTCTTTTGTAAAAGGCTACATTGAAAAGCGTTGTTTGTTATTCGTGATATAAAATATTTTTATCTACTTGGATAATAGCAATTTTTTTTTTATGTATTTAATTTTTTTTCTGTAGTACCTTCCATTGTGTATTTTTTTTATAGATAGTAACTGCAAAGAATATCCCTTCTCAGAACATTAAAAAAAATATATCACAGGAATTGAAAGAGTGCACAGTATCTTTATTTGTTAATGGTAAAATATTTCAAACCTTTTTTGAATGATTTATTATACGACATCTGATGTTAATACTGCATGTCAATCAGTTTCACATATCCGGTTATCCTTTAAAATGAAGACAAAAGGTGAAATACAATCAAAATGGAGGGAAATGATCAGGACATTTACAGAAGTTTGTAGGGTGTATTATGTTATTGTTGTTTCAAGAGATGAGGAAACTATGCGGTAAAACTATTAATTTGTATCATGTCGTACAAAAAGGAAAGACAATTCAAATAAATGCGATTAAATTTTACAATGTCAAAGACGGCTATGTAAATTCATTAGTAGATGAAGGATATACAGAAAGAAGGACAAAAAGGCGGGTAGCAATCAATAAACATACAACTGTAACGAAATGTGATGCAGATTGTTCAGTGCGAAACACAGCTGAACCAAGTCTTAAAATAGACTAAACTAGCCTGTAAATATTTTCTGCCTTTCAATACGTATTTTTTACTAACAAATACTACTCACAAATATGTTATATATATATTGAATGCAGTAATCTAGATCAGTTAGAAAAATCCTCTCAGGTGAGTTGCACCTAACAAGTTTAATAATGATCGAACAGGAACATACCGAAATAAATCAATAAGAAGGAATACGAAATGTAAGGTAAAACTAAAAAATAGTGTACACATTAAATCAATTGTTGTATTCTCATTGTACTCGTATTAAGATAGGAACTAACATATATTTGTATCGTTTGTACATATAAATATGATATGTTGTGAAGTTAACTTAAAAAAACCGTGTTGCCAAAGCAAGAACATTTGTAGTTACGCTGCACACGTTTGCAACTGAACATACCAATATGCGTCATTTTTGTTACATACATATTCGAAAGAATTACAAATTTTAAATATTGGTTGCGGAGTGAATAATAAGCGATGGATTTAATTAATTTAGAATATTGCAACTCTATATCGAATGCAAACCTTGTAAGCATGGTAAATTCTTCACCAATTTTAAGTTTCTGAGTGAAAACCTTACATAAATGTAGTCTTAAAAACACCATGATGGAGACATGTAAAACAATTATGAAAAAATGAAAATAATGTATAACACAGTTCAGTTGTTTTGCTTAAATAACACTTTATTTTTTTTTACATTAAACTACTTTAGAATATGAATAGTTTACAAACACAATCAAAACCTGTTTTGTTATCATGGTTATTAAGTAGCATTGAATCCAAGGGATATAAGATTCTTACCTTATTCATGTGTTATTGTTCAAGGCCCTTTTCAGTTTGCCTGCTATTGTACTTAATTGAACAGATGAATGTTTACCCGATTAACTTTCAGGTGTATGATTGGTGATACGGAATTGTATAAATGAGCTCGAGACTATATGTCTTAATGTTACGGAAATAAAGATAACATTTCTGCATAATTGTGTGGACACCTAAGAATATATACGACGGGAAATGTTACTAGAACAACAGATGCATAATTTGATAAGTTAAGTTGTCCATTCTTTTGACGAGTTTGAGATTTTGATTTTTCCATTTGATTGCGGAGTTTTCGTTTTGAATGTTCCTCGGAGTTTAATATTTTTGTGATTTTACTTTTTATGTATATTTTTTATATATATATCTCAGGTTTTATCAATTGATCTATAATTTTCAGGCTTTGAATGGCATGGTGTAACACTGTCTTGCAATACTTTTTTTATATTGTTTCCGGTTAAGTTAGATTAGTAATTTTCGTAATTGGTTTTTTATGTAACTGTAGCTTTACATGGGTTGGATGTAAAGCAAAATCGTTAGTCCAACATAGAACAAAATATATGTATACTATTTCAATTAGGATTTCCAGTATAAACAATATGTTTACGAGCTCTAGATAATTATTGCAAATACAAACAATACATGTTTACCTTAGACGTGAAGTTTTTAATCATTGATTTAAAATTTTCATATCATTAACTAGATTTAAATTATATATTCTGTAGGTGTTGACAGAAAATAAAGAATATTTTCTGCTATTGATATTTCAACCTCTACCTTACACAAAGGAACAGCCAACATTGACAAGTCTTCAAGTAACCTCGCCAATTCCAACATTCTGAAAAGGAGAGTTGAAAAAAAAAATACTTTACTTTTCTGATCTTTTTGGATTGATATTTTATTGTTATCTCTTAAATTGTTTTTATGACGTCGTTTTTTAACATTTATATTTAAATTTGTTTTCTTATTCTGTGATCAATACAAATGAATTCACTTTAAAAAAATACAAACATAAAAACAAATTACATTTATATGAATGAATTGATTTCATTTAGTGACGACCAAAACCAGCATATTTATAAAAATCAGAACCGCATGTAAACGTTAAGAAGGTGTTAGAACTGTATACGTACCTTCATTTCAAATTAACAAAACAGTATCATTATGTTCATACTGGTATTCAAATACTTCGCCAAAAAGCTATTGAAACCATTGTGGACTAACTACATGTATCTACCAGCAGATATGTCGAACACATGGTAGAAATAACTTGCAATGTTATACCTTTTACTGGACTAGATAAGCATGTCAAGAAATAATGTCTCTCAAGCGATTTTAAATGCAAAATATTTAATAATCTTAAACTTAATTCAAACGGCAAAGAACTTCTGCTAGACCTAAAAAATGATGATTTCAAAGTCCTGTTCAAACAAGGAATTCGGGCTGTGTAAATTGGAGTTATATAAGTGCGCCTCAGATTGACTTAGTCTTATGACAGCAATTGAAGGTTTCATAAATTTTAAAGTATCTGTATTGTTATGCCAGAACCGTATTAGTGTGCTCCTGGATTGAAACCTACAGTCCGACAGCAGGGTATTGGCCAATACATACCTAAATAAAAAGGTAAAGATTGGTATTGTAACATATGCGCATTTCCTTTGGAGATTCACGAGTACACAAAAATACAATAAAAATGCGTAAGTCAGACAAGTACGGCATTATCTTATGTAACATGACAATAACAATAAACGGCGAAAATCCAAAATGAAATCCACAAAACGCTACAAAGAAATACAAAAATATTGTTCGAAATATAATCAACAGAACCAAAAGTATAGCCATATACGGATGAGGGTAAAAGATCTCATATAGAAGAAAGACAAAACCTACCAAAGAAAAAAAAAATGAAAAAAGAATGACAAATCAACAATATACAACATGTTTTGTGTACTCAAATTTCGTGTTTTATGTCTGTAAAGAAATAATCAATTGTTAGATATGCAGTCATTTCATCAAACAAAGTACTCCTATTTAATTAAATGGTCCTTTAAGCAAATCGGTTTGCCAATTTAATTGCTGAAGTTATATTAGTGCATCTTTTGCAATGAATCGGTGAAATATGCCCGATATACCTTCTTAAACTGCGATAAAATGATGAAAGCTAAAAAATATTCTTATTGGCAATATATGTGCACGTTTCAGCCATACAGTTTATCGACAGGCTGTATGAATTCCTTCCGGTACCAATTGCGTACTTTGAATAGAATACTTGATATTTTTTTACGGTGATATTCTTTAAAATAGGGACAAAAGATAACAGAGGGACATTCACACTCGTACATTTTTCTTACAGGGTGGCCACGTCCTACTGTTGTAGATTCCAATGAATGTAATTTATGTATACCTGGTAAATCATTTCGATTCGTTTTCCCAATCAATTAACACCTGTTCTAAATCCTTTCAACGTACAAAAATTTGACTAAACCTCTAGAATTATTATTTAACCAGGACATCGCGTGATAATTTTTTGGTTTATAAAGCCCGTAAACTTAGTCAAGATCCATGTAAAGTGATTGATTCTTTGAATAAACTTATTCTCTTGAAAGTTTTCAATTTAGCATAGTAGTAAAACCTTTAAATAATGATTTTTGCCGGTACTACCATTGAGTGATACTTACGTCACGGAGAAAATGATTTATTCTTTTAAAAACAAATTGCTTTCAGAATCTTTAATAAGCTGCGAGTATTCATATTTGTGTGCATTGTGTCTATTGCTTTACTGTTAGTGGTGTGCCTCGTACCAATCTTTTGAGTTAAGCAATAAACAGCAGAGTTTGTCAGTTTGATCTCATATTGTGCTATTACACTCTCGATATTAGGAGGCCTAAGTCATTTGATGCATTTAAACTATTTCAAAATACTTTTTTTTATTTAAATGCCGCAACGCTTTATTACATTAGGAAATTTTATTCACTGCATACCTTTTTTTTTTATTCCTTTAAACCAATCAAGACGTGACACTAAGTTTAATTTGGTCAATTGTAAAAAATCGTTGGTAGAAATCATAATATATAGGAGATCCGGCTGTATATGTGGAACCCCATATGACAAATGTAGGCATTCTGTCGAAAAATGTCAACCTAACATTACAAATTTGATTCAAATGTAAAGATCAGTGGCATCTTGATGTCATTTTTTTTTAAAAAGATAAAGACGTTCCGCTTGAATCCGAGTGGCTTTTATAAAAATTTCATTACTTCTTTCCAATACCTAGATAGTTGTAATTAAGTTTTCTGAAACAAAATTGAACAGTTCTGTGTATGAATAAGGTATACCTCTGTTAGGTATGGAACAATCAAATGTGTTATTATGTTGTCGGAGAAAACAATACAGTATTATTCTGATTTTCAAATCTTGCAGTTACATATTAAAAACAAAAAAAATGAGGTAGCTCAATATCCTAACGGAGCAAGATCAGAGGGGTGACAGGTTATGGATCGAATGATTTAAACACACCAATAACAATGCCAACCAAATGTCAACGGTACAATTGTAAATGAGACACAATAGCTTAACATTAAGTAGACTATTAAATTATCAGCAGGTTAAAAACTTGAGACTGCTCAGATACGACACAGGCACATCGTCGAGGTATAATTTTGTGATGGTGACCGGCCAACTTGTGTGTTTTCGTATCAGTTGTTTTTCCTCTAGTCAATGCAGCAAACCAATGAGAGTTCAGTCCTTATATATCAATGCTCTATTAATTATTGACATTTTGTAAGGAATGGAAAGAAAATGGCAACTATATTGATATCACATTAACCTTTACTAACACATTATTTAAATTAGGGATTTTGTAACAAATTTTACTACACTTTATGAAGTGAAGGAAATTAGCAAAGCCATTACTGTTGAGATGGGCTTTGCATGTAGTAAACACGGAAGATGTGGGGTGTAGTGCCTTACTATAATCAAATTATATGAAAGATGTAATCATGTTGAAGTTGTTTTTCTGGTTAACAGATTATTAATATTAACACTAATTGATTCAAAGTTTGGTGACTATGTTAAACAATTTATACCATCGAACTTCCAATGAAGGATATAACTGATACAATTCATTTTTTTCTTGACTTACATTTAGCTATCGACAGTGAAAATCAGTTGAGAACAAAACTTTACGACACAAGAGAGAATTTAAACTTCCCAATTGTAGACTTGCCATTTGTATGTAGCAACATTCCAACGGCGCCTTCATATGGAGTTTATATCTCCCAGTTGATATTTCAGAGCTTGCATTTCCTATCATGATTTCCGGGGTAAGGTTTTCTACTTATAGAAAAAGCGATTACACCAATAGTTTCAAGTGAAAAAGTAGATCTCATCCCTTCGACAAATTTACAGACGCCATCACGGGTAAGTTGACCGTTATGGAAAATGTGTTTCAAAGATGATTACGGATACTTCTTGTCTTAATCATAATCCATCTCCTTTTTTCTATTGTGACCTAATAAACTGTACATATCAGCGGGTATATAAAAACAAAACAACAGTGCCACAAGTCTTGCTTACCCTTCAGTAGCATATGAGATCATCCAAGCCTTGGGGAGGTTCGTGTTCCTCATTTTATCGTTTTCTATCTATTGTTTTGTATACTGTTGTTTGATCATTTTTTGCCATGGCATTGGCATTTAGTTTTTACGTATGAGTTTAAATGTCCATTTGGTGTCATTCGCATCTATTATTGGGTATTATGTTTAGAAAAAAAGTAATCTTAAAGTTATGGGTACATACCACAAGCAGTGTCTTTAAATCAACGTTCATATATAAATACATTATAGAAATAAAACCGAAATTCCTAAAAAAAATATGTGTAATCTCCGCCATTGACCAGCTTAATACTACTATATTTCGCAAATGGAAAAACTAAAGAAAACTTTAGATCATGAACAAATGCGACTAAATGAAATATATCAATCAAAGTATAATGAAATATACTTCATATATTGTGTTGTAATGATCGTTGTTTAAAGCAGTTCAATTTTTATTAAAAGTGCAAACTATGCTACTAGTATACATGTATGCATGAAGATTCTCACATTAGTACCAGTCAATTATCGCAGTTATGTTATCTAAATTCAACTTTCGAGATTGCATACATCCGAAAACTTACAATAAATTATGTAATAATCTGTTCCTCTGATGATTATGAAATAATTTTGATTTATTGATGAACGAAAATTCCGTTTGAGTAGCTTCCAAATTCCCTGCGTTGTCATTTCTCTTATCAATAAAACTGATAAAGCTTATGCTCATTTAACTTAACCAATCACCTACTGAGACCAACGTATACGTTGATGAACATTTTTGAAAACAATTGGTCCAGAAAAACATAAATTATCGAAGAATAAGAGAAATTGTCGTACAAACAAAATACAGGGTATATAAAAACAATCTGTTAGGTGATAATGATATCTGCAGTTGTTTTGCAAGTGTTATCTCTTTTCAGTCCTATATATGCACATTACCACAAAATATGTAATAGCCGAATTCCTTACATGAATTAAAAATATCTGGACGTTATACAACTGTGTGCATGGAATTAAGAAATGGTACATTGAAAGTTAATGTAAGCTCGTGACATCGATATAATTAAAGCAAATGACCTAGTATATAATACCAATATCAATTGATTCGCCAGTTACAAACCATTAGATGAAAATATTACGCAGCCCAATATCAAATTGTAAACGATATTTGTTCTCCCCCATTACGCAAATAACATTTGTAATTTGTAATACAAAAGCCCATTCATATTAGTCAAATCAAATGTTAGTGAAATTTTTATCTATGGCAAACGTTTTGAAATATGATCTAAGAATATTTCACAATATGAGATTCGAACAAAGTATATATTTATATATTTGTTTTATTATTATTATTTGTTTTTTTTTTCAATAGTCAGGGTTTTACATCACTCTTTCAGCACCACCTGACTAAGGTTTCACATGGTTATAAGAAATATAACAATATAAGACTATTGTTTTACCAAGATAAGAAAAAAAATAAACATACATCATTTGATAATCTTTCTTTTCTTCTCTGATATATAAATATATTTATATCATTGTTGTGGTTCGTTGTTTAAAGGAGTAGGTCCGGTAAGGGCCGATTTTGGCCTCAAACTTCAGGTTCATCTGATGAAAGATTTTGGACACTTTTTAGATACTTAAGTGTCTACTTCAGTCGTTTCATTTAGTTTATGTGAAAGATTTGAAATGAGTTAGTCATTAAAGACACTCAAATTCAAGCTTAAATATGAAAAATCTATAATATGTCACTTTTCAGATGGTTTTTGTCAAAAATGAAAGTGGCCGCATACGTGGTCAGTCTCAACCTTTATATATGTAATGTATTATCATCAAATACAACATTCATTTAAATATTAAGAATAAACACAAATGCGGCCACTTCCATTTAAGACAAGAAACCGTCTAAAATTAACTCAAATGCTAAAATTGTGAAGATTTCAGTAATTAAGCATGACTTAATGATGCTAGTACACGATACATGTGCATTGTTTTGTCAAAAACAGTCCATATTTATGTAACAGAAGTATTCTACTTTCCAAAAATAGCTAAAAGTTTACATTTCAACAATTTTGTAAAACTGCTATATTTTGGGGCCGAAAAGGGATCTTACTGGGCCCACTCCTTTCTACATATCTTCTCCTGTGGCACAATTAAATGTTTTAAAATGAAATATTAGATGGAACATGACTTTACGATGTGATATGATCTAAGGTTATGTTTACACTGTTAATGTGAAACATATTTTGTGTACACAAGTTTCACTGTTTACGTCTTTGCAAAAACGTTATTGTAAGACTTGCATTCGTTTAACCAAGCATATGTTTTCTTGATTAATTTAATGATCCTTTGACAAATCTGGTTGTCGATTTATTTGCTGCAACTCGTATGGAAATTTCTCTTTTAAAACAGGAACATATGCTAGATATACTTACTTGAAGAATTTTAATGAAGTTCAAGATTAAAGTTGTAAATATTCTTCTTGTCAAAATCTCTGTATGTTGCGGCAATACATTTTATAGACAGTTTGAAGGTACTCCTATGGACACCAATTGCGTTCCGTGAATAATATATCTGCTTAAAATAATCAGGCAATTTCTAATTTCACTGCGGAGATAATTACAAACAGCATTCAGGGTATTTTTTTCTAGATTTGGATAATCCAGTTTGACACGGAAAATGCTATACATAAATTATGATAAAAAAGAGACAATTGTTCGTTCCAGATTGTTGTTTTTCAATCTTTGAATGGGGATATTCATTTAGCCTCTTCATACACAGTGCGTGTTTCACAACTTGTTCGCTTTGCCCGTGTCTGTAGATTTCAATGAACCAAATTATGCGTAACTGATGAATTATTAATACAGTGATTTCGTTTCCAAACATAATTTTAAACAGTTTATCAAATTATTACATTGATTCGGTAAAAACACTAAGCTGTACCTGTTGAATTCTTATAAAAACGGGATGTCACGTCCTAATTTTTAGGTTGATATTGTTTATACAGCCAAAAATTGAAGACACGATCCGTGTAAACTAGTTTATTTTGAAGTGGTTTATTCTGAAAGGTTGTTTAATGTTTTATCGGTACTAATATTGTTTTAGTTATCGAAAATTCAAACTGTAACAAATATCTATTGCAATATATGAACAATCCAATTTATATTTGATAGGAAAGTGATGAATGGAGCAAAACAATCTTTCATTAGAATTTCAGCATCGTTATTTAGAGAAAAAAAAATAAATTTAAACAACAAAGAATTGAACACTACATCAGTTCAAAAGTTATGAGGGATAACGGGGTAGATTAATCTGAAGGAAATGTTATAAACAACTCCACATGTGTTTGCCACATGCATGCATGAATAGTGTTTGTAAACCTAAACACAAAAGAATATGGGTAGCCGCTTTACTATATTAGATACAAACTATAGAACATTTTTTGAATAATTTGTAAAACATATCAGGGCAAATTATAATAGAAAGGTATTTTACTTTATTTTGAGTTTCTAATCTATGGGTCTATATTAACGAATCAATATATATTTGTAATAAATGTCCTTAGCAATCGTGCTCGTGTTGTTGTCTCAAAACTATATCGGATCCCCTGGACATCACTTAGATTTTTACGATTTACATCTAAATAATCGGAAATAATCAATTATAATAATTTTTCTTAAAATGCATTAATTTCTTTACATAAAACGAATCTGTTAAGATCATGCTAGGCATAGACCTATATGGAAAAAAGTAAAATCACAAAAATACTGAACTCCTAGGAAAAATTCAAAACGGAAAGTCCCTAATCAAATGGCAAAATCAAAAACTCAAACACATCAAACGAATGGATAAGAACTGTCATATTCCTGACTTGGTACAGAAATTTTCTTATGTAGAAAATTGTGGATTGAACCTGGTTTTAAAGCTAGCTAAACCTCTCACTTGGTGACAGTCGCATCCAATTCCATTATATTGACAACGACTTGTGAACAAAACAAACACAATAGGTAACAAAATCACAAATAGGGGTTCAACAGCAACACGAACTCCATAAAAGACTGGGGGTGAATGCTGCTTGACTTCAAATGAGGAAAACAACCGTATAAGATATCAATCGTGACTTTGTTATTGGTATTTATACCAAATTTTCACTAGAATTAAAAAGTATAAACTATAGGCAACATAACCTTACCGATATTATATAGTAAATATAAAATAATAGTCATTCATTTACATAATAAAATAATTTTCTTGCGTTGAACATGATCTATGCTAAGAAATATTTCTACATGTATCTTAAGTTTAATAAGCATTTATAAAAGTTTTTCTGTAAATATATGATATAATACAAAAGTGACAATGCTTGATAAACTACTTACTGTTAGCGCTCACATTGAAAACTATCTGCATTAAATATATATTGTGTTAAAGTTCTTACATATATTTACAACTAAATTGACACTGTTTCAACGTTTTAGGAAAATGTTGTCTATTTGTTACAGAGCTTTGAATGCATTTTAACATGATGAAGTACTATAAAAGAAAATTTAAAACAGGAGTTATCCAGTCAATTCAAAATTTGTTATTTATATCTATGTTCACAATGTTCATATTGGTTTGGTGACTCGAATCCCCCATAATTTTACCGGCTTTTTTGTTTCGGGAAGAGGTTCAAATATTTTCAGTAGCAGATAACCGCTATATTCTGATCTCACCTACAACATAATTGAATTAATATAATTGATCATCATTCTCAACATCTTATACCTTTTCTTATTCAAAACTTAATAAAAAGAAAATATATTGAAAACAGATTCTTATACATCGTCCGTGAAATGTAGGAGTAGTATCAACAATTGTGAATCTATATATAGTTTTAAGTATTTTTTTCTTAATTTAGAATGAAATGTAAAATCAATAAAAATACAAACACATTTGGTTATTCTTGTCATTCATGCTGCTCATTTCTATTTTAACCAAATTATATGTGTAGATGCCGTTTAAGCTGTATTTGCATTTGCAAGTTTCCTCTCATTATGTAATTTCGTCTTGGAATACATTAAGTTGTCATTGTTGGTTTTTTCTGTCTGCATGGCCTTTATTTTTTGGCGTCATTTGCATGATTTGTATTTCGGAGTAACCATAAGGCTTGCCAGGTATGGATCTATTTATTTCTCTAATTCTTACACGATTTATCCTTTTCCTGACCTGTTGATTATTTTTATTTAATCAACGTGTGGTTCGTTTGATCTCAGTTGTTCATTGGTCAAAACTCGATTATGACGTCATATTGTCTTGCTTTCCTCTGAAATTCCAATTGTGACGTCATGACAAAAGACGACCATGTCTGATGACGTCACATAGAAAGAACACATCTTTTTGCAGATCATTCGAAAGGAAGGATTGAAGTTGTCTGCATTTCGTCTAAAAATCATTAGAGAAACAGACTCAACCACCAAATCTCGTGCAATACGATATTTATCTACTCTCAACAGTTAAATTTTAAATGACGCTCGGTTTAAGTTGATAAATATCGTATCGTACTCGATGCAGTGGTAGAATCTATATATAATCTGCAATAATTCATTGGCCATTTAATTATCTAGGGATACAAGATTAATCATTATGGTTTACATTGCAAATAGTGAGGGTCTGGATGTTTTACCTTTGCACATATTTGTTAACAGAGCCATATAATTTCATTATAGTTACAATTTAAATGCTTAGTCGAAAACTAACTGAAAAAACAATAGGAAAAAACAACAAACAAGCGAAAAACGACCAATAGACAAAGGACAGTATATAAAACATAAAAAAACAAACACTAACGAGCAATACGAACCCAATAAAAAATTGGGTCGATCTCGGGTGCTCTTGAAGGGCAATCAAAACCTTTTTTATATGTGGTATTTGTCTAGTTGCTTACATACCGTCAACCATTATCTTACAATACATTAGTTGTTGGATACTACCCACCTATTAAAAGATTATCAATGTAAATTTAAAATAATTTCTTTAATTAAATTGACGCACTTTTTGAAATATATCGATCAAGTAGATTGGTCTGTCCCGTGGCAAACTTGAAAATTGTGAAGCTTAAATATTCACAGAATATGCTTCCCGTGGAAGAAAGTACGACTCAAAAGATTACTAACTATTACTTTGTATTAAAACGGAATGTATTTGTGTCGCATAGGTTATTTTCGATGACATTATTTATCACAAGTGAGGTAAACATAAAAAAGCACACCCAACACACGTTTTGTTCATCCGTAAGTTTTAGCATTGTTTAGACATTTATTATTTTTGAAAGTGGAATACCATGATATACCAATTGACAGTCTCGTTTTCGGTGATGTTCGTGCTGCTCCTTTGAATTATGTGTTTTAATTACTGAAATGTTTTTTTTTTAACGAAATGATAAACTATTATGCCAAATTATTGTTTCAAAACATCTTTCTTTAAATTTATAAATTTACATTAAAACATCATTAAAAGCACAATGTTATTCCTCACTTGTTCATTATAGTCCTTACTGTTTTGACTATCGATATGTAGATCGTCAGCTCAATTTATTTGACTTGCAGTTGTATGATCAAAAAACATTTATAAAGTACAGATACCAGAAAAGGCCATGCAATGCTCTGCATAATTTCTATGTAAATTTCGATGATAACAACAGTTGTATACATGCAGACATACTTTTGTGCTTGCATGAAGCAAACATAGCAGCAATTTATAAAATTAGAAAACGAATATGGTAGTTATATTGTGCACTTTCATATCAGTGCAAAAATCAGTCAGTGTCTTACCTTCACAATGAAAAAAGTCCCTGCTGCAAGTGCAGTTCGATAGGTAAGCGATCTCAACTCACCAGGATTTTTTCCATTCATTGAATTCTGCACAGCTTCTTTCATCTGCATTAAATATGAATAAAAGACGATGTTGGAAAACGTTTAGTAGACAGAAAAAAACACAACAAATAGTTCTATATATCCACGTATCAACCATAGATATATTTATACACAGATTATCACAAATAGTGTGAGCAACTTTTGACGTCGTTATTCGGATCTCAACATATCACTCTATTTACAGTTAAACAACATATATATACAAAAGAACATAAATCGATGCTCGTTTTAGAAGTATCATTAACGGTACCAATTCTACTGCACAAGATGCACATTTCAACAAATAATGTAAAATCATTTAAATTTAATTTTAGAATGTTTGCAACTTCCGAAAACAACCTCTGAGTTTTTAAACTGGGTATAAAGAAATTATAAACCTTCCTACATTTCTTCATATGATTCATCGCCCCGTCAGATATATGGTTGGCATGTAACAAGTCACTTAGCGTTGGCTATTATTTAGACATTATATAAATATATAAAAATTGTGGAAAATGTAGAAACTAATCTGAAGTTTTTGAAATTCATCTTAAATAAGGCTAATCTCTAACATACAATTTGATTTTACATACGCTTCTGAAAATCTTTTGTACATACTGACATGAAATGGTGTGGAGAAGATTATATTATGCAAACAGGAATGTCACTTCGAAAACAATGAAAGTTCACCGACAGCTAATTTTTTAACAAATTTAAAGATAAATAACAATAAGTGAACAAGTAAATGCAGGAACACAATTACGTGCACACAATTGTCATTCAATCAGTCTGCTGAAGACAGAACAGAACAACAGACAATTAACAGTGAGAAACTTTTCGTTCATATATATAAACCAAATTTAGACAGAAATAGTTTTCTAACGTCTACATACGGAATGCGTTACACTTTATGTTAACGTTACTTCTTCAAAAATCAGAATTTATAATAACCAGTCAACTAAATCTATTTTTCATTTACAAGGAATGCAACATAGTGTTTACCTGTTCATTACAATCTACTAAGGGTTGTATTCTATCATCACTTCGTGTTTCCACGCCAAAGGCTCCAAGCAGTGGTTGTTTTCCATAACTTCCATAACATTGTCCCATTGTGTTCTTTTTAAAGATATGACACGTATTATGTCACACTACTTTTAAATACATGTTTACTCTAACTTGGCGCATGTCCTTTAAGTTGTGTTACGGTTCAAAAATGCTGTAAAGATATGTTATGAATTAACTTTATGGCAAAACAACAGGAAGGAGTTGTCATTGTTGATCTTTAGCTCATTGAATTATCAGCAGACAATTGTTGAAACTTTATTAAATTTCAACATTAAAGTGTCTGGTTATTATACGTACAATTGTTATGAATATTGGTTTGTTATCTACACAAAAATTTACTTGACCATTTCGGGATTATTGCATAGAAGTAATGCAATAATATAATAATAGTCAATTACTATTCACCGTTATTGTTGAAATTGCAACGAGAAAACTATGTTGTATACAAAGTTATATCAACTCTTCAAAAGGTAGACTTATTCCTGATATCTAATTCCTTCACAAGTTCCTGCTTTTTTTTAAAAAAATGAGTTTCAAAGCTTTGAGCATTAATTCAATATAACTAAGTGCTGGATACTAATAATATCTGGACGTCTATTTTTGTATATTTTCTTTTCTAGAGCTATATATGATGTATAAAAACGTACACTTATTGTCTTTATCATGCTATTTAATGCTGGCACCTTTATATTTTGTTATTCTAATATCAAATTGTTGTCAATAGCAATTTACATGGTTAAACACTATTAAAGGAGAAAATGATATTCTGTTACTTTAACAGTAATGTCGATATTGTATTGGAATCAAAATAGAATCAGGAAAAAAGGAAACTCTATTTGTACAAGTTAGAAAACAGAAATGCGATTTCTGATATCATACTTTTGTTGGCTGATCAATTTACATTCGAATGCGACATATCATCTATTATATCCTCCAATGAGGCTCGCCAGGATTGTGGAAAAACATCTCCTAGTGATACCAACTTGAACAGATGAGAGATCCAAAGTGTCAAGACAGTACTTGTAGTTAATCTTCCTGATTTCACAAACAGAAACATATAGTTTGACTCTCAGATATTTTGTTTTTTGTTCATCATCTTACAGCGAATGATATTTGCTTATTTAAGTTAAAACATTGAAATTTAACAAATTAAAGTAAACTAATTTGTAGATCTAAATAAACATGTAACAGTTATTTAGGGCAAGAACATATTTTTTCAGGTTTGGTGTACACGTGTCAATTATGATAAAATGTCAATACAAACTCGTTTTTGTTTTCTTATTTCTACCTACATGACACTTAAGATCAGGTCAGCTAAATATAATCTAGGGTTTTTGTTTTAATACTGGTATACCAGAAAAAAAGATTGAATTATAAATCATCTAATTTTGTCATGATCGCTCATATAACATGTATCAAAAAGCCTTCAAGCTCGATATGGATGTTAAACTATACGTTCTTCCTCGATATTCCTGACGAGTAACCAGCTATTAGCTATTCTGTAAGAAATTCATTTATTTTGATTCTAGTCTTCTCAAAGTAAAATAACAAAAATACCGAACTCCAAGGAAAATAATGTTGTTGTTTGGATTTCTTCTGTTACTTATTAAGGACCCTCTTCTTTCCATTATTTGAGCATAAGTAAACTTTTTACCAAAAACTCTTGCTTGATGAAGATTTTTTTGGTTTTTCGTGCATTGAAAGCCCAACCCTCTGACATATTTTCTCCAACTTGACCATATTTAGTAGACACATTCAATTGACATGTTTTCTTTTGTTTACTTGATAATTTCTTCAGATGTAACTTTATGTTGCGTCATCAGATGTAGGCTAACGTTTTTGCTTGAATCTGCAGTTATCAAGAACATATAGTTTTTGTAATTATCATCTTGGATAAAACTTCTGACAAAAGCCATAAATAAGACAGTTACAAAACATTTCACCCTCACTTTGAATATTCTTCTCCTCAATTTGTTTCCATATTTCGACCAGCAGCAATTTTATGACACTTTACATTCTCATCGCACACTTATCATTTCTATTTTGGTTTTCACAATGTTCACCTCCCCCTAGTCCTGTGTGGTTTCAGAATTACGTGACTTAACATCAGAAAAAAACCTTTGAAGTCAAATATCTGATTTAATTTATTAACCAATTAAATATTTCTAAACCCTTTTCAGCTGAGTTTTTTATAAAGTGTATTTATATTATTCTGTTACACCACTATCACAGGTGAGGAGAACAGTTTGCCATCGGAAAACATTTTGACCTTGCCATTTTAAGTATAGGAATGTCAAAAGTCAGGAACGTGTAAATCAATGGTCGTTGTAATCATTTTTGTTTTCGTTTATTTTATTGTCCCTAAATCAGGCCATAAGTTTTTGTTCGAATGATAGCTTAACTTTGCGGTATTGGTTTTGGTCTTCGTTTAAGTCTCCACAGTGGCCTTTAGTAAATATCTACTATGTTATTTTAGCAGGGTGCCCAATAAACGAATTTGATCGATTTGGGTTAATGAAACTACACACTGCTGTTTTTTTATATCATTGGAAAGAGGAGAACAGGTCTCATAGAAATATTCGTGTCGTCGATTTCTACAGTGGTCACGATTTTCTTAAATTTGGGTTAAAGGTCAAAGCAAAAATTTCAAAGAAAACGCAGAGTCATGTTTAGACAGCTGGCTGTCCCTACATATATGCGTTTAAAGTAAATTTAATTGACATTTGTATTATAGAGTGCAAATTTACATTTTTTATTCAGCTGTTAAATAACAATGACCGTGACCTATAAAAATTTCAAAATTTGATTTTTTTACATAAAATGCAATACAAGTGATCTCTAAAACATGTATTTAGATATAAACATTTATAAGTTGCCCTTTCAAAATGTTTTTTCCTGACTTTTATCAGAAGGTGTTCATAATGATTTTCTGGGTATATATTCATTTTTATTTTGGTGAGTGTGGAAGCACATTTAATTGTATTTAGCTCCAAAACTGATGTTATGTTATCGCAGAATGGATTGAAGTAGCAGGCCTGAGTATATATTTACTTTACAGAAATAAGAAAGACTGCACTCGGTGAAAAAGGGGAGGAGGTCTCCTTTAAAGAATATTTGAAAATATAACAATTTGAAACAGGTTAATCACTCCATGTTAAACACTTATATGCCTTATTGAGCATAAATAGACCTACAATTGACATGCAGTTAAACATGTTAAAGATTATCTACAAAAAGAAGGCGGTTAAAAACATCAATCTAACTTAACTATAGTTCTCTGATTTCGTTATCCTCATATATAGCTAGGAGCTTAATATATAAACACGATTACGCGAATAAATATTGATCAAATTTTTAATCAGATCAAAAGAACATACAAATATTGCCGAATCTTGCAGAAGCTAATACGTTTCATCTCATCAACCAAATTAAGGTTAGAGTTCTAATTTCAGTTGTTCTTTTTAATCGAATTTGTTTTAAGCATACAATCTGATGGTGGCGGCAGCAACACAGTAAACTATTCGAACTCCGAGGAAAAATCAAATGGCAAAATTAAAAGCTCAAACACATTAAACGAATGTGTAACGATTGTCATATTCCTGACTCGGTACAGGCATTTTCTTAAGTAGAAAATGGTGGACTAAACCTGGTTTAAAGCAAGCTTAAACATTATTGTTACTAATATATGATATGCTTGCAAGGTCTACATGTCAGTCACACATGGGTCACCTGACCTCGATCACATAATATTGATCAATGGCAAGGTTAAGTTGCAATGGTCAAGTCCTTATCTCAGAAACTATAACATCGCATAAGTAGTGGATCAAATATATTTGGTGTATGGAATGGTAGCAAAGTGTACATGTCTTTGTGGCAGAGTTCATCTGTCCCTACCTCATTTGCATGGAACATTGATAATGTAAATTTTATGTAATACTTGTATAGTATAAAAAAATGAATTTTGAAAGTAAGCAGATATAGGCAAACGTACAGCCTTCAAAAATGAGATAAACATTATCCGTATGGTCGGTTATAAAACGTTTGGAAAAAAAAAATAAACAATTCATTTAGAAAAAGTATGTTTAAGGTCCTTTTTTCATAAAAAAAATTAAACTGGGCTCTCAATTATTTGACTTTGAATGTTCCAAATGTACCATGAAGGTAAATCAAGAAAAGCGCTTCATATATAGAAAATTCAAACAAAATTTTTGCACAAGAGTTCTTTTCTGGATAAAAAAAGAAATGATGAGGTTTGGTGTTTAAATGTTATTTCTCAAAGTGTGCTTAATTAAGGATCTTCAAGATCTTGACCATCGTAATTTATTTGACTTTTTTTATTTTTTTCAATTTTAGCGTCACTGATGAGTCTTTTGTAGATGGACCAAACGTCTGTCGTTCATAATTGTTATCATTGTGTCTATGAAAGTATATCAACGAATTGACGTTATCATGTATAAACTGACAGTAGTCTTCAGTTTATTATTTTTATTACTAAATCTGTGTCACTGAGATTAGATACTATTAACTAAGAATGGATTGCCGCTGACGAAAGTTTTCCGCTTTCCAATTTTAATTGACAAAGATCTATTTCTCCGAATTAGAAAAAAAGATAAAAAAAACATCAAGTATTTTTATATACAAGCGTAAACATGTTATGAAATTAATTGCATTTGGTAATATGTAAATATATTAAAGAATTTCAATGTCTTAAGTGTTACAAAGATATAAACATGTCAAATTTGAAAATATATTAGAAACTTTATTTATGAAAACAGACCAACTTGACGTTTTTGTGAATATTGAATGCTGAAAAATATATATTTCGGTCAGACCATTGCAAAGATAGCATGTCTGTTACTGTTTAACGGATATCTAGGGGACATTTATTAAAAACATGGCTTACCTATTGTAGTAAATCATAGAAAAATAAATGCATTAATCACTGCCAATTATTTTTTCTAAATCAGTATACAAAAATAAAACTTATATCATAAACAATTTGAAAGGTGATCCTATCAACAAAAGTTGTATTGATTTTTGTTAACTCTTCATACCCACCTGCCTTTGTTTGATCAGATATACATATGTTCGTAATA